CGGCCACACTAAGAAAGAGCGCCAGGGTTTGGTTCTCTTCACTACCAGCGGCCTCTATCCATACTTTCAAACAATTGGCACAAGAATTTCTCAACCACTTTGTTAGCAGCAAACGGTACAAGAAAGCTTCGGCCCACCTTATGGGCGTTCGTCAGAGGTCGAATGAGACGTTGAGGGAGTTTATCCAACGTTTCAATGGAGAGGCACTAGAGATTGAGGACTTGGACCAGTCTGTGGCCTTAGCCGCACTCATGAATGGGGTCCGAAAGTCTTCAAGGTTTGCTTTCTCTTTGGCGAAAAAGCCACCGCTATCCCTCCCTGATCTGTTCAGTAGGGCCGAAAAGTACATCAACGCTGAGGAGATGTCCAGAGCGGAGGATGAGCATGAGACCTCTGAAAGAAAGAGAACAAGGGACCCTGGTGACGATAATGGCGGAAAGAGGAAAAAAGTATGGGATAGGCTGTCTGTCACGACCAACTCGTCGAAGGATCGGTCCAATCTCCCGAGGTTTGAAAGGTATACTCCTTTACGTGCTACAAAGAATGAAGTCTTGATGTATATTCGAGATAAGGACTATGTCAAGTGGCCAACCAAGATGAGAACACCTGCAAACAAAAGAAGCCGTGATAAGTATTGTCGTTTCCACAGAGACCACGGTCACGATACCGAGGACTGTGAGACCCTAAAAAACGAGATTGAGGACTTGATACGCAGAGGATACCTTAAGAAATTTGTGGGAAAAGACAGAAGCAGCCCTCAACCCCGGCGAAGCCGCTCGAAAGATCGAAGTCGTAGTCCTAGGAGGGGTAATCCTAGGGCCCGAAGTCCGAGGAGGGACAACACTCAAGTTGCTGGGGTCATAGCCGAAATCGCTGGAGGACCATCCGGTGGAGAAAGCAATTCTGCTCGCAAAGCATATGCAAGGCAACCTAGAACAAGCGATCCGCAAGAGAAAAAAGCTCGTAGGGAGACACAAATAACCTTTACCGAGGAAGACACGGGTAACATTCTAACTCCTCATGATGATCCCATGGTCGTTACGCTTACGATTGGGAATTACGGGGTCAAAAGAGTGTTGGTGGATAGTGGCAGCTCGGCTGATATCATATTCTATGATGCATTCGAGAAGATGAAAATTGGTCGTGAACGACTAAGGCCAGTCAAAACTCCACTCATGGGGTTCACAGGTGAAACCGTGGAGCCGGAGGGAATTATAACTCTCCCGTTAACTGCAGGGGATTCACCCCAGCAGACCACGGTCATGATGGATTTCTTAGTTGTGAAGGTCCCTTCCGGTTACAATGTCATCCTTGGACGACCAGGGTTGAACAAGATGAAGGCCATAGTCTCTACATATCACATGCTTATGAAGTTCCCGACCGAGAATGGCATCGGGAAAGTTCGTGGAGACTAAGAGGTAGCCAGACAATGTTATGTGGCCTCGCTCAAAGGTAAAAGAAAGAACTCGGAGGCTCTGACCATAGAGAGCTTGGATCCGGAGGAAAAGGTTAACAAAGCGGGAGAGCCAGTAGAGACCTTAGTCTCAATTGAGCTTTATGAAGGGGACAATGATAAGGTTGTGAGAATAGGGTCCTCATTGCCCGAGGACCTTAAGACAAAGCTTGTCCAATTCTTGAGAGAAAATGCCGAAGTCTTTGCTTGGAGTCCATCTGACATGCCGGGAATTGACCCTGAGGTCATAGTCCACCGACTAAATGTGGACCCTAGCTTTAAGCCGGTTCAACAGAAGAAAAGGAGTTTTGCCCCAGATAAGATCCAAGCGATCAACGGAGAGGTGGATAAGCTCTTAGATGCTGACTATATAAAAGAGGTAGATTATCCCGAGTGGTTGTCCAATGTTGTCTTGGTTTTGAAAACAAGTGGAAATTGGAGGATGTGCATAGACTTTACAAGTCTAAACAAGGCGTGTCCCAAGGACAACTTTCCCTTATCGAGAATAGACCAACTGGTAGACGCCACCGCCGGATGTGAAGTCCTCAGCTTCATGGATGCATTTCAAGGGTACCATCAGATAAGGATGCACCCAGAGGATGAAGCCAAAACTTCTTTCGTCACCGACCGAGGCCTATATTGCTACAAGGTCATGCCCTTCGGTCTGAAGAACGCGGGGGCTACATACCAGAGGCTAGTGAACAAGATCTTTAAAAACCAGATTGGTAGAAACATTAAAGTGTACGTTGACGACATGCTAGCAAAGAGTCCACGTGCGGAGGACCACATAGACGACTTAGAGGAGACCTTCGCAGTGTTGAAGCATTACAAGATGAAGCTCAACCCCAACAAGTGCGCTTTTGGGGTGACCTCGGGAAAGTTTCTTGGATACATGGTTACACAACGAGGAATCGAGGCGAACCCCGAGAAAATCAAAGCATTGTTGGACATGAATCCTCCTAAGTCAGTGAAAGAAGTTCAGAGGCTCACCGGGAGACTAGCAGCACTTAGTCGTTTCTTGTCAAAGTCTGCAGAAAAGAGCCTACCATTTTTTAAAGTGCTAAGGAAGGCAAATATGTTCGCTTGGACAGAAGGCTGTCAGAGAGCGTTCGAGGATCTAAAATCTTACTTGAGTTCTCCACCACTTTTGAGTTTTGACAAAGCCACAGCAAGGAGAGGTTTTACACTTATACCTGGGAGTGTCGGATGCGGTTGTGAGCTCGGTGTTAATCCGAGAAGAAGATGGAGTCCAAATGCCAATTTATTATGTGAGTCGAGTCCTAGGAGGCGCAGAGCTTCGCTATCCTAAGATCGAAAAGTTGGCGTTGGCCTTGGTTATCTCAGCTTGTAAGTTGAGACCGTATTTCCAAGCACATGTGGTGGTTGTACTCACAGACCAACCGTTGAGACAAATTCTACAAAGGCCGGAAGCATCTGGGAGGCTGGTGAAGTGGTGCGTTGAGCTTAGCGAATTTGATGTTCAGTTTCAACCGAGGACGACTATTAAGGCCCAGACCTTGGCAGATTTTGTAGTAGAGTGTACTACGGGAGAAGAGCATACTCCTCTGGTAACAGAGGGGGTGCCAAACATCGGAGATCCCGTCGAAGGCTGTTGGACCTTGTACGTGGATGGATCATCAAATCAAAATGGGAGTGGGGCTGGGTTGACCTTAACCAGCCCAGAAGGTGATGTTTTTGATTACGCTCTAAGGTTCGAGTTCAAGGCCTCAAACAATGAGGCTGAATATGAGGCTCTCATAACCGGACTAAAGATGGCGTGGAGCTTGGCGCCCGACGTGTGAAATGTCATAGTGACTCACAGTTGGTCGTATGTCAAAGCCGTGGAGACTATGAGGCAAAGGATCCCATGATGATCAAGTACCAAGCTAAGGTGAGGGACTTGGTCTCTTTATTTGAGTATTGTGGGGTTCAGCAAGTCGCAAGGACAAAAAACACTAAGGCAGACGCACTGTCTAAGCTCGCAACATCACCTTATCACGAGCTCATCAAAACCGTACCTGTGGAAGTCCTTCCTCACCGCAGTATAGAGGAAGGGCAAGTGATGAGTCTTGACCAAGGACTCAGTTGGGTCGATCCTATTGTGGACTACATCAAAGATGGAAAGTTGTCTGATGACCAACGAGAGGCGAAGAAAATCATTCAACGCTCAGCCCGGTATTCGATCATAGGCAACCATTTGTACAAGAGGTCGTACAGCATGCCATACCTTAGATGCCTTAGGCCAGATGAGGCTAATTATGCATTAAGAGAGGTGCACGAAGGAGTCTGTGGAAATCACTTGGGGGGCAGGTCTTTAGCCCAAGTCATCATCAGACAAGGGTATTACTGGCCTACCCTAAGAGAAGACGCAATGAATTTCGTCAAGAGATGCGAAAAATGTCAAAGGCACGCGAATATCCTCTATTCTCCAGCTGTTCCCATGTCCTCGGTCTTCACCCCTTGGCCATTTGCAATATGGGGCATGGACATTTTGGGACCTTTTCCACAGGCCACTGGGCAAAAAAAGTTCCTGATCGTGGGCATTGACTATTTTACAAAATGGGTCGAAGCAGAACCTTTGGCTCATATCACTGAGAAGCAGATCCAAGGTTTCACGTGGAAGTCCATTGTGTGTCGTTTTGGAGTCCCAAAAGCACTCATCACTGACAATGAAAATCAGTTTGATAACCAACGTTTCCGAGAGTTTTGCAAAGGTTTGTCTATAGACCTCAGGACAACCTCGGTAACATACCCTCAGTCCAACGGCCAGGCAGAGGTCACAAACAGGACTATCTTGCAAGCCTTAAAAACAAGACTTGATGAGGCTAAGGGTTTATGTGCTGATATTCTTCCAGAAGTGCTGTGGGCTTATCGTACGACTCCTCAGACGGCCACAGGAGAAAGCCCATTTAGCATGACGTTCGGATCTGAGGCGGTCATCCCCGTAGAGATTGGAATCCCAAGTCCCAGGGTTGAAACCTTTGAAGTGGAGAAAAATGTAGAAGGTCTGAGGTGTAACCTTGATTTGATCGAGGAGCACAGAGATCGGGCAAGGATCAAGATGGCTGCATATCGGCAGAGGGTGGCCAAGTATTACAACAGTCGCGTTCGATCACGCTACTATCGACCAGGAGAGCTTGTCCTTAGGAAAGCTCAGTTCAACTACCAAGAAAGGCATAACAAGTTATCTCCAAACTGGGATGGCCCTTACCGTGTCCGAGCAGCGGTGAAAGAAGGCACTTATAAGTTGGAGGACTTAGACGGAAAGCCTATACCAAGGTCCTGGAATGCAGAACATTTGCGCAAGTACTATCAGTAGTCGTTTTATGTTAAGTTATTTCCCCTATTTCTAGCGTAGGACTTGCAAGTTGAGACTTCGTACTCAGACTATTTCAATAAAAGTTGCAATTTGTTTTGATTTCCGACATTGTTAGAAAAAAACGGTAAAATTGCAATGGACGACCATTGCCACTACCTACATTGATAGAATTGCAGTGGACAACCATTGTCGCTATCAAAGTTAAAAAGAATTGCAGTAGAGAACTATTGCCCCTGCTACTAGTCCTCGGTTGCAGCTGCAAAACACTAGTCACTCGGTAGAATGATCTACTGTAAGGCTAGTGAAAGAGCACCCAAGGTTAGAATTGGGACTACCTATTTCTTAAAAGACAAAGGAGTAAATCAAACAGCGTTACATATGCTGGGAGTTCAAAAGACCAAGGTTTACAATCATAAAAAAAAGGTACAAGTCCAGAAGTGACAACAAAACAAACAAAGTCCTGAAATCACCAACAATCAAACATCTCTAGAAGCTGAGGGGTCGACATCCTCCTCGCCTGTCATGGGATCGACAGACTCGGGAACAAGACGACTGAGGTCAAAGGAAGGGTCAAGGGTGCCAACGAGCTGCCTGCAGGCATCGAACCCGTCGAGCCAATAATCCGAGTTCTCCTCGGCAGCGTCCTTGGCCTTCTTGTTGGCGTCCTCAACCTTCTTGTTAGCCTCTTCAAGGCTCGAGTCCATCCCCTTGATCCTCAGATCGAGCTTCTCAACGAGAGCCCTTAGGCGCGTCAACTCAGTATGATGGCATTCGCTCTCCTCTTCAGCCTTCGCCTGAGAGGCCTCGCTACTCTCTAGCAAGTCCCTCAACTCAAGGATCCTTCGGCTACCATAGGCATACTTGTCAATCATGCCCTGGTGAGTGCGAAGGAGCTGAAAGACAGAAAAAGGTTAGAAAAATTTCGGAGGCAACATGGAAAGAATAACGAGAATTCTTGTTACCTTGGCTAAGTACGCGTAGCTATCATAAGATAACTCCTCAGACGTCGCAGCCCGGAGGCTCTCCCTATATCGGGGTAAGAGGTGGCTCATCATCTCTACAGCGGTACTGCGGTCCAATAGACTGTCGCTGACGTTAACATCCCACTCTGGAATGAACTTATCAGACGGACCAGAGACATGGTCGAAGCCTCCGTCGGTGAACATCTGGGGACCTCCGGTCCCGCTACCCTCTTCAATGGCAATGTCGACCTCGGGAGCTGGAGTCACCGGAGGACGAGTAGGCCCCAAAATAAGAGGTCGCGGCACCTTCCTTGGGGGAACCCCGGACTCCTGCCTCTGGGCAGCGTCAGCCACGACCTTGCTCCTGTTCACCCTAAGCTTGATCCTCTTAGCCTTGGTCACCTCCATACCTAAGAAGAGAATAAAAAAGATGGGTAAATACCAAGATATAAATAATAAGAGTGCATGCAATATTTATTAAAGACTACGGTTTGTTCGTACTAAGGTCGACGATTGTAGTCGGTGGAGCATGGCTTAAGCGAGCCGCAAGCAAGTTCTTCTCCTTTAGTAAAACGGTTAAACTCGCGGGACCTTTGAGTAAAAGAGCTAACT